GCCGGTGTCTTCCGGCGTCTGGGGAGAAAGACGTATGCTGACGTCAGAGAGTAGACGGGGGCAACCTTGCTGTCGTCACCGGCGTGGTGTAGTAGTGCAGCGTTAAGTAGGCAGGAGGGGTTTTTTTCAGTTAGTAAATGAGTTTTGCTCCGCGGCTCGACCTACGGTAATTGTTAAGCATTTGCTCGGTGCCGAGACAGCAAAAACCTCATGTGTGTTGTGTGGGGTTTAATTCTGTGAATTGGTAGGATTTAATTTCCCAGCTGACGGCTTCGGTTTCAGTTGGGAAATGTTGGAGGTACGAAGGATGTTTGTGAACTAAGCTGCTTTTTGCATACATTGAATTAAAAAAATTTCTATTTTCATGTTAACGTATCTGAAAGAAAAAGAAGTGAGCCAGTGAGCTCTACTTTGGCATGAGTGCCATAGAGATCACTGTAAGCACATTCAGATATGCAGCATGGCTGTCTGGCCGGAGATTAAAACTTAAAATAGAGTTTTCAGGTGCCTTCTAGCATGTCTGTGGTTGTAGGTGTGCCTGCATAACATGAGGAAAAACTCAACTCTTTCTTTAAAAAGGCTTGAATTCGTCTGCACAAGGCTTGTTTTTAATAAAACAGTGAAACACATCTAGAGGGGTAGTAAATACAATTTTATACACGTCTGCTGAACCTGATGCACAAAATAACATGTCATTTGCAAATATGGGAAACTTTTGCATTAAAGAATCATTTCAAAATGAATATCAGATTTAAAGAGCGAACTTTCAGTTTTGGAGCTGGGGTGCAGACTATTGATTGTTTTCATTGAAAGTAAATACACGAAGATGATTCAATGTTACTATCAAATTATATGTAATTTTACAGAAGCAGTCCAGTGTTACTGTTTGTATTTGTGTTATCATAGCTTACATGTTAACAAAAAGTCTGCAAGGCAAAGGCTTGGGTTTTTTCTTTGTTTTCTTTCTCAAAAAATTACTCTATGCTTAAAGCACAAGGTTTGACATTTTAAAATAGGAGGTCTAATTGTGCTTTGCCCCATTGTCTGCATGGCTTTTGGCAAATTATTTAACTTGTAAGTTCATTTATTTTCCTGTAGAATTAATATTTACTGCGTCAAGCCACCTGCTTAACCAAAAGGTGAATGAATAGTTAACATTCTATGTTTTAAAACAATATTGCTGACACTTTTGAAAGTGGGAGGAATTGAGAAAACTAGACAGATTACAAGGGCAGAAGAGCTGTCTGGACTTTATTTTGGGGTCATTTTGTTTGGGTTTTTTTAGATCATGTTTTGATGATCAAAGACGGTTGTGCCAACCCATGTTTTGAAGGCTGAGAGTTTTGATTTTAGGGGGGTGTTTTTAGAGCACATGTATCTTTTCAGATGGGTGAGGAAGAGTGGTCAGTTTGGAGCCTGTCACCTCTTTACAGTGTGTGTGTGTCTCTCTCTCTAATCCAATTTGGAAAACCTGTTTGAATTCAAGTATAAATGTAAGTGAGAACTCTTTGTCCCGACCTGCTTTCAGGATGAACTTTTTATTTTACTTTCTGGGGGCAGTTATTCAGAGTTCTTTATTCTTTCTTTTATATACCTAGTAGTTTTTCTTAAAGGGTAGAGATAAAGTACATTAGTGTACTTTAGAATAAATTATGTCCTCAGAACACAATATACCATCAACAGTACCTGTTCTATTAGGAAATTCATGGAAGCTAAGAAGAATCAGAAGGACTAAAATGTGAGCCTGAAAATGAAGTAGTCTTGGTGAAACAGAATGGAATAAAATGTTTCAGCCATTTTTTAAAAAAAGAAAAAGATAGGAAACTAAAATGTGCAATTGAATTAATAGGAATTGACCATTTCAAAATGTATGAGGCAAAATTTGTTTTCACTAAAATTGACATTATCCTTTTGTGTTTCAGAATCAGGTGCTGTTTTCACATTTGGAAAAAGCAAATTTGCAGAAGATATTCCTAGCAAGTTCTGGTTCAAAAATGACAAGCCTGTACTTATATCATGTGGAGATGAACACACCGCTATTGTTACAGGTCAGTATTGGAAATGGAGTATATGATAAAAGGTTATATACTTGGACAGCTTGGAAAGTATGATTTTTATTTGAATCCTGAGGTAATATATCAGATGAGGTTGTGGAGAGGAGAGAGGACTGTTCTGTGGGAGCTATCGGATGCCTTTGAAGTTAGTGTGAGATCACTGAAGGTTCTCACAAGACATGCCCAAGAACTGTTGTAAGGGAATCTGTAATAACTGAATGTATCGCACAGGATTTAAAGTAAGCATGACTTTGTTCAGCTTGAATGTTTCTTGTGAATCTGACAGTGTTTAGTAGGCAATCTTAAATATGGAGGTTTGTATCCTGGAAGTAAACAGTATCTGTTGAACATGGTCAACAAGTTCACTAGGAATCTACCTGAAACAATAGATAAAACTGTATCTCTGAAATGAAGATTCAAATTACTGTTAAACTGTCAACTGAAAATAACCTTTGAAAGAGCAACTTCAAAAACTTCAGAAAGTCCTACTAAAATCAGAAATAAATTGCCAAAGCATTCAAAGAAGCTCAGATCAATACAGTGAGCAGTATTAATTTTTATTTTCATTGCTTTGAAATGATGGAAACAATACTCATTGAAGAATTTGTGAAATTATACAATTAATTTTTCAAGCCTAACTTTCTAGAAGATGAATTATCCATGAATAGTTTATTTGGAACAAAACCTGACGCTTTTTCTTGGATTGAACCAGTTCTATTAAATTGCCTGTTGCATAAAATTAGTCAGAATGTAGCCTGGGACACTATGAAATTTCCCTTTTGAAAATTTTTTTATATATATCCTTTGATATACCCACACCCAGTTTGAAATAACACTAGTATAATTCTCAGTTTAGACTAGTCAATTTAAATTGCCTCCTTGCGTTCCCTCAGCATGTGCCTGCGCCAGCACTGTTACCCTCATCAGCAACAGTCCCCTAACTCCCATGTCACTGTAATAGCAGCCACTTAGATAAAGCTTTTGAAGAAGTCAACTTGCTTAGGTTTGCATGCAGCATCATTTCTCTACTATCTCCCCTTCTCCCTGTTGTTTTAATCTATGCGGCGTGTTTCAAAAATGTCTCTGTAGCTGGCCTTTGCTGTTGCAGTGTGCCGATAAGTCACCAGAGAAGCTTCTGGTTAATCCGATCTTTATTTTCCCAAAGCTTTTGAGGAGAAGGAACTGTAGAAGCATGAGTACAAAATTTCTTTGGGACCAAAAGGTATTTTGGGACATTGTAAATTAGAGGTAAAAGTGAGGGTAAAATGCTGATCAACAACAAGCAAAGGTAGAGAAACTGCAAGAGCCGTACAAAAAAGTGAAGAAGGGAAACAGAAAACCTTTGTCCCTCATTTGTTCTTCACACCTGTGCATGCCCGTGTGCACCTCGCATTTCTGCTGTTAGATGGAGTTGGATGATACAGTGGAATTACAGCCCTTCGTGAATGACATTGAACTGCAGTAACACCTGGAATAAAAGGTCCAGAAGTGCATGCCGAATAATGACTTTACTGAGAAGGGTACAGACCTTGTGGGAAACCAGGAGCTTCCTGAAATCCAGCTGAACCTGACCTGGAAGAGATAAAAGACAAACATCACTGAGGAAGGAAAAGTCTCTCAAGCAGGTGTGTCTTAATGCATGCTTCATTTTATTTTCAGTCTTTATTTACAGGTCACAAAATTCCCCCATCCGTTTTTTTTCCACCCCCTGGAAGAGGTGGTGGGACCTATGTATGCAGGGGACAGTGGGAATATGAGGTAGATTCAAATCTAATAGAAATACATCAGTTTTACACTAACATGTCTCAACAATCACCCAAACCAATACAAAACATTCCTTAAAGCTGGTTTTGGGCTGGAGAGACAGCTACATCAAACACTGAGCCTTGACTGAATGCAAATGAAGAAACTGTGCAGGAACTAATATTTAGCGTTCAAACAAAATATTCAGAAAATTTCAAATACTGCTTTCATCTAATCCAGCATTAATATTACTATACGACTTCTAGGGAGAAAAGTGTAAAGTAAATGTAAAATACTTTGTTCTTTGGCTTTCTAGGTCAGGAGTTAGAGTCCAAAACTTTATTTACATACTGTAGCTGTATGTTGGAATAGAAAGGACCAGTGATAGTTACTTTCTGACTTTGAGTTGGCTTGCTGAGCTAGTCGGAGAAACATTTTCTTCTCCAGTTTTTGGAGTCTGGGATTGAAATTTTTGTTTGTTTATTCATTTGCTCTCTACCTTTAGCACAATCTTCATTAAAATGTTTGAGCCGGAATTTTTTTTAAGCAGTTGTCGTCTTTAGTTCTTTAACACAGCCATGAGCAGTATATTTTCCAGCATCACTTGTAATATGTTTAATAATGTTTCTTGCCCCATTTCTATATTTTTTTTTGCCCAAGAATACTGACAGTCCACTCCCTGCATCTTCTGTAACTGCAGGCATTGGAAAGCCAATTTATTCATCCTGTTGGAAGCTGGTGTGAAGTGATGTTGCGCATGTTTTTAAGAATCTCCTCCCAATACCTTTCTATTAAGTTTCTTTTCTACAAAACTCCTAAAGTTAACAGCTGTCTTATTGTTTATTTGCCTTGATTAGAGTGTCCTAGGCAGCTTGCCCACATTTGATCAAAGAGGCTGATCCTGTTCACAAGGGGGAAAAGGATGATGACAGAAGACACATTTTTCTGAACTCAAGAGCTCTGGAGAGAAATGAAGCCCCCAGTGCAAGAGGGTAAAAAGAAAGAAAGAAGTATCAAGTGTAAAAGTAGGAGTGAAAAGAGGTGCATATGGAACCAAAACAAGAGAGTATGCTCATAATTTTGAGTTTTGTAAGGCATTAAACATTAAAGAATTTACACCACAGAGACTTTGGAATCTCTCCAGGTCTTTGGACACCAGTTTCCTGCTATTCTTTCTGCCTACAAGCAGGCCATCAGAACATGGCACAATATCTTTTGCATCAACTGCAAGGGGAAAATGAGAAAGATTAGTACATGTTTGTGTTGATCTTTGATATGTGTAGGAGCAAGCAACGTACTGCGCTGTTTCTGTTTGTGTGATACTAAATGTCCTAAGTGTGACTGTTCTTATTGCTCAATAAAGCTTTTATTTTGAGAATATCATGATTTGCCTAACAAAACAAATGTCATTCCCATTTTTGTGAGATTATTTGAATTGTATATCAATTTTAATTTTTATATATATATGTTAATAATTCAGCTGCTGAATGAATGCCTTTAGTAGCGCTTCATGAACCAGGGGAGCACATGACAGATTGGGTTCCCAAGAATCACAGTTGTGATAGCAGCTACTCATATGAGGAATGTACTGGTTAGGAGACACTCTCTTCCTGAAGTCTCTCGCAAAACCTCTGTTCCTAAAGCTGTAAGCATCTTGTGGCTTCCCTAATAGCCCTGAATTGATGTTGGTGAAACATCTGCTGGTGATATGCCAATGCATACATATGTTGGAGAAATACTCCAGTCTTACATCAGGATGAAGGTAGGGACTGGTCTTGCAAGTCTGTTTACATCACCAAAATAGTCTGAGTAGTCCCTTTCTTTATGTCCTGTTGTTTCCCTTCTGCTGCCCAGAGTCATAATCTTACTCTGCCAGAGAAGTCTTCTGTCAGCCATTCCAGCTGGCAGATGGCCACAATCTCTGTATGTCAGCACCAAAGTGGAAACAAAAACCAAGAGCAATCTGAATTTGCAAAGTTTTGAAATATGATCCTTGCCTGTTTGCTGTTGAATTAGTTCTCACTTCAGTGCATCTGTGGTGATGACTGGAGATATCTCAGTATGCAATTATGAAAATAGGGCCTTTTGCATACAAAATTGTGTTGTGTTTCCTGGCCAGCTTGGATTGCATCATGTCTGTCCCAAAACCTGATTTGCTGTACAGACCCAGAAATGTTGTTTCATTACAGGCATTTGTTTAGGTTCCTCTGTAGTGCCTACTAGTTTTCATTCACTGTCTGAATTACTTGCTTCGCAGTTTTCTTATTTTCTGTTACACTGCTAAGTGTTGAAAGCCTGAAATTATAAAAGGCTGTCACTCAGTTGTAAAAGAATGTAAAAAAACTCCTCTCATCTATTAAGCTCCTTGACTTAGAAAGCAATCAATGCCTGAGAATTTAAGGACTGGTGTAAGAAGCAGCAGATTAGAGGATGAAAAGCATGACCTGTTGGAATTTTGAATGGATAAAAGAAAATGTGCTTAAAGTGAATTATGGCAGCTTGGCATCATATTCCCACAGGAGTACTGCTTTCTTATAAAGGCAGTTGGAAAGTATAAACCAAGGATACAAGGAAGCATATACTAATATAGGATGCCATTTGCTAATAAAAATTCTTTCTGTTAAGGTGCGTTTGGCTTTCAGTGACAGACAGCTCTGCATGTGTTTTGATGTGATTGCTTTATCAAAATCAGGATGGGGATATAAATGCTATTAGTAAAACACCATGAGTGTAGACTTGACCTCAGACTTTTTCTCCTTCCAGCTTTCTTAGAAAGACATAATACTGACACATAGCCCCATGTTCCAAAAATTGTCAAATCTAATAATTTGATTGGGACTTTAGATAATAGTTATTGTTAGTTGTTGGTGGGGTTTTTTTAACTATGTGGTTATATTTAAGAAAACAAATGGATTTTTTTTTAACAGAGTAAGTACTTTTGTTCTATTTTAAACTTTTCAATATCATATTTCAGGGTCTCGGTAAATCACATTCAGAACCTTCACTGGGAACCTACACTACTGAAGTACAAACAGCGATAATATTTTGGCATCATTATGTGGAATTGCTGTTATGTGTTGCAATCATGTGATAATAGTTGATGGCTAGGGTGACAAAGTTTGTTTATGTGACAGCCTTGTGTTGGAGTCTGACTCATGCAGACCTTCATCAAAAGTAAACAAACTCCTTTTAACAGTTGTAAGAGGTCTGGCATTTTTGACAAATTAGTTTCTATTGTTTTGCAAAGATTTCTGTTGGAACAAGGGTTTTATCTTTGGGTGTGAACTTCAGAGCTTTACGAAAGGTAATAGTTTAAAAACTGAACTGAACTGAAATTAATTCATTTTAAGGTATTGTCAGTAGTCAGTTTTGGTTAATTTGCATGCCTGATAACAAACGTTTCATCTGTTCATATACCATCATCTTAAAAAAACACTGGTTATTCGGAATTGCAACAGTTCATTTTTTGTAATGGTCAAACCTGCAAGTTCAATGATGCATCATACCAGTTTCTGAAATACGATTCTAGCATTGCTCCTGTTGAAGATCTGTAATCTAATGTTTGCATTTACGTTTACAAAACTCTCTGACTGCATGGTGTTTTTATGCATTCCTTCTTTATATGCAGGGTGACAAATTAATACAATTTGTGGACACATTTGAAATTTTATCAGAAACTATGTTCTGTAGGAGTGCAAATTTGCAAATCATTTTAAGAGAAGACATATAGCAGTAAAAGAAATATCGCCCCCCCCCCCCCCCAAAAAGTGAAATAAGTTGATTACAAAATTGTGTTTGTATTAATTATATAGCTGCATTATTCATTCCTGTCTTTGGGGCAAAAGATGTGGGTGCTCAGTTAAATGTGCTGTTGTTTTATAAGTAGGCCTATAGACACTGTGGTTTTTAACTGCAGGGTCTGTCCAAGGGTACAACGTTTTATTTTCTGAAGAGCACTTTATCTGCCCTGTAATTAAAGGAGATGATGTTTGTTCTGCTTTTTGTCTCTTCTTCTGACTGGCGATTTCTTACTTAAAAAATGCAATTACTACTTTTGTACTGAAAAATCAGGAGGACGTTAATTATTGTTTACACTTAAATATTGTACTGCCTAATCTTAAACCTTACTTTAAAAAGGAAGTAATAAATAGCATAGTGTGTGAATGACCATCTTGTCTTGAATGAGGTATTCAAACACTTGTATGGATTCTAACTGTGCATTTTTTTTTCAGGGAATGGTAAACTATACATGTTTGGCAGTAACAACTGGGGCCAATTAGGACTAGGATCAAAGAACACTGTCAGCAAACCAACATGTGTTAAAGGTTTGTTTAATTTTTCTCTTTTTGTCTTTTTGAAAGGAGACCCTTGTGAGAAGGCACTTCCTAAGATGCAATTCCAAAATAACTGTTCCTGCCTTCTTTACTCATCATGTGTAGCATATTACTGCACAAGCTCATAAAGGTAGCTTAAAAGGATCCCTGATTGATTTTTCATCAGTTCCAGATTCTGGGTCCTTTTGCGTCTGAAGATTACTTCAGATACATAAAATCCTGTCTTTTTTGAGGGCTGTCATTTTATGTAATATTTGCTTTTTCTGACAAACCACATCTTCATTGTGACTGCAAAGACATTAATCAAATGCTTGGTCTCTGCGGTGTTGTCTATGTGTTAGAAATCAGACTTCCAACACCATTGTGTAACCTTTGTATCACTTTTGTTTAAGCACCTTTATAAATGAAAAAATCTATCAGGAACTTTCTACAACTACTACTGCATTTTTAGCAAGTATAAGAAGTGCCCGAGGGGGCATAAATGTTAATATATTTGTATTATATATAAGCAGTAATATATATATTATTGTATTATATGTAAGCAGTAAAATAAATGCCCATATTCTTTCATGTGTTGTAAAATATGTTTTCATTGCACTGTTATCTTCTTGATCTTTCCTGGCTGGTTTTATCTTGTCAAATAAAACTAAGTCAATACTTTTTCCCTGTCCCCTTACTTATGTCAAGTCAGATCTATCCCATTAACACATTTCTTTTCACCGTTAAATGTTTATCCTCATCCTTTCTGCCAGCAGATCGATGTGTTAACTTATTGTTAAAAACAAATTATCCTGCTTGTTCAAACTCTTTTCCTCCTGATTTAGTTTATTCTGCTGTCCTTTATATGCTCCTCTCTGTATTTCACTTCAGAGGGAGAATGCAGCTACTTTCAGGTTCACATCATCTATCAGCCATGTGAGAGATTGATTCTTCCCTTGGCTTAAATGGATTGGGTGTCAGTTGTTTGGGTTTTTTTTTACTGTCAAATTGCAACGGCGAATAAAAGACGAAGAGAAGATGACAGCAGTTCAAACCAGACCTGGCATCCATTGAAAAAAGTCACAAGGCGGGTATCTTTCTTCTCTTGGCAGTAGGCAGCAGAAGAAAGTCCTGGAGCTTTTCTGACTAGATTGCAGTCATCACTTGGCTTTGGGAATGGGGTTGCAAGGACACATTTCAGTATCCAAATGGTTGTGGCTGCATGTTTTCTGAGAAAATATCTTCTGGGACTTGACTAGAGACTAATGAAATCAGTTATGAAAAATCGCCAGCAACATTGTAAATACAGCGTGGCTCATCAAATACAATTGATTAACCTAAGTGGGAGGAAGGTTAGGGAGCACGGGCTTCTGAAGAGCTGATGAAGATCATTTCTGAAGTTGGAGGTAGAGTTTTGGGATATAAAGCAGCAAATTAAGATTGTAGGAAGAAGCCAGCATTGGAAGTGTTATGGTTCCAGCCTGGTGGTGGTGGTGGGTGTTGGATAGGATAGGCAGGGACCTGAATTTGGACAATTTATGTTTGTGTCTCTGTGATAGACCAGAGATGGTTCATGGTTAAGTAGGTAGATTTATTCAGTGACTTGGTAGAAGGGACTTTAATCTGAATGTTATGGAGCTGGTGAAAGTTGATTTGGAAGAACTGAAAAAGGGTTTCTGAAAGGGATGATGGTTGTTGACTTTGTCATGGACTAGCGTAGTGGAAAAGCAATTAAAGATGGATTACGTAAAAAGTAATGCTGTTTTAAGAGCACTGTATAGGGCACATGGACATGGCTGAGAGAAGATAAATTGTTGGCAACGATCAGTAGTTGGAGAGAGGATGGAAAAGTCAGTGAGATTTTTTTCCTCTGTGAAATGGAGTGCATTTGCCATGGGAGAAAAGGCACCTCTGTATTTTCTCTCTCCCACCAAAATGACTCTTGACTCCTCTCACATACACTCCCAGTCTTTCACAGTGCCCAGGCTGCAAAGAAGTACATGCAATGGGTGGATGGTAATTGAGCTGAAATTGAGACAGGATGGTATAAGCAAAAATTTTAGGCACTAGTCCAGATAGGACTGTCCTTAGCAATTGAGGTTAGTGATCAGTAAGAGGGCAGTGCAGACCAAAAGTCTAGCAAAAAAGGTAGGTGTGCATAATGAAGGAAGATAGGGATGATAAGACAAAAGAACAGTATGATTTTAAAAATTTAAGATAGTGAGAAAAGCATAAGAGGGAGTTAAGAATAGTACTGTTATTGAAAACTGAAGGCAGCTTTAAGCATGTATTTTGTCCTGCAACGTGATATCTTCTTTGAGGCATATCCCATAAATGGTAAATTCTGGGGAATGTGGCATTAGGATGAAGTAGCCATCATCAAGTTAACCTGAACATCAGCTATAAGTTTTTAAGGTCTATATCTGTTTTCTTGTCTTGGGGGAATCCTGATTTAGTAAGTTATGTGCTAGGTTCAGATGGGCAACGAATCTTGTAATCATTCTGTTGATAAAAATGTGAAAAAAATCAGAGCTCCCTCTAGAGCATAGAACATTTTGTTGTTGGACCAGCTATCAGCTTGCTTGTAACTTTTCCCCCCCCTTTGGCTTTAATTCATAGCTTTAAAACCAGAAAAAACAAAACTTGCTGTTTGTGGAAGAAACCACACTTTAGTTTACACAGGTATGTAACCTATATTATATACATATTAAAGATAGATTTCTTCCTTTGCTTTCATGCAAAATTACATTAGGAACCCCAGGAGTGTTGAGGAAGGAAAAATAAATTAAAATGGGACTATTAAAACTTGGGGTTTTGATATCCAGTTCTTTGAATGCTTGATTTATTCTGAGCCAGTGCATTTATAAAATAATGTTATATTTTTGCTAGCAATAGATAGATGAAAAAAAATCTTGCTGGCATTTGAGGTGTAGTTAACAATTATCAAATATTTCATTTAAGCCCTGTAAAGGTATATTAGTATTTTTTAATATATCTGTACTCAAATTTTCCTCTGACAAATAATTTATCTTTATTAGTGTGAAGTTATATATTTGAGTAAATACAGTAGAACCAAATATTTTCAAGTCTTCAAATTTTGTTGCGTTTTGGTTAGACAAGGTAGTCTGCTATTTCAATGACAAGTTGCTTTATTAAGCTATAAATAAATAAACTGTAAATTTAAACTAAAAAATAAATTTTTAGAGAGACAGTATACAGAGAATTGATGCAAATTCTTGTCATGCTTCTAAAATTTATGTAATGGAATAGCCATCTTTGTGGTTGCAATCCTTTAGCTTGCAGTAATGTTATAAAGAGGATTGTTTGATTATTAGGAGGTTTATATATGTGTAGACCCTGAGCACTGTAAATAAGACTATTAGAATAAACCAGAACATTTTAATAACAGTTGAGTATGCAAGACTGCACAGGGTAAATATTAGTCACTTTTAGTGTACACACTGGCTAGAGAATTTGTGGCCATTTATATAGCAAGGACCATTTATGAATTGTACGTCAGTTGCTTATCACATTTGTGTCTGGATTTGTGTTATTAATGGGCCTTATCTTTTTCATCATAGATGAGCACTTTAGATGTGAAACATACTAAAATTAAAAATATAAATCTTAAAGTTCTCTTAAGTTGAAAATATCAATCATCAGCTTTAACTTAAATTTTTAGATTCTAAAACAAAATAAAGACCTAGTTAATTAAATCAAAAGTGATTTAAATATTAAAATGAGTAAAATATTTCTAATAAAAACCTAAGCACAAATATATTTCATTCACAGTGCTCAAAACTATCAAGTTATGCATCTCTTTAATTTACGTACTAATACGACTTCAGTTTTGTTGCCTGTGACATCATTCACCATTTTCCTCCAGCTTTATCTTGAAATGCACATTATTTGGGGAAGAAGCTGCTTCTGGCTGCCAGGGCTACTAGTAGTCATTTTCTCAGAACTCTTGCAGAACTTCAAATTATATTTACTTACTAGATGAGTCTCCAGAATGGTGGGAGATGCAGTCAGTCCAAGTTACATGTAAGGCCTTTAGAAAGTTCTGATCTAAGCATATGCAGGAAAGCCTCCTTGCTAGCTACAACAGAAACTGCTAATGTCAACTCGAGGATATTTCAGGGCAGCAGACCCCAACTTTCATGTAATCTTTTTCCATTGAAAATTAAATTACTTGCTCCAGTTTCTCTGACTTTTTACCATTGATGAGAATGTCTTCATTCTGTGTATTACATGTGCTTTTCTGTATGCAGAAAAAGGAAATGTGTATGCTGCTGGAGGTAACAGTGAAGGTCAGTTGGGATTAGGTGACACAGAGGAAAGGACCACATTTCATTTAATTAGTTTTTTTACCAACCAGCACAAGATCAAACAGCTAGCAGCTGGATCATACACCTCAGCAGCAGTAACTGGTAAGAGCAACCGCTAATAAAATCTATTTATGTGTGTCCAGCCTGATGTTCCAGGGAAACATGTATTCCAGCATTCTGTCTGCATATGTGGGTATATTTTCTATGCCTCCCTGTCGTCTTTCCCTAGTAACCATAGTCATTTTTTGATAGCCAGTTGCCTATTTCAACACAATCTGGTAAGGGCGAGCAGTCTCATTAACTTCCTACAATTTTTGTGAAAGTGGACCTTTTCCATGAGCAATGGCCTGCAATGGGAGCTCAACCTGCACTAGTGTAGTAGGAATCCTTACAAAGGAGAGACAGTATGAATACCCTCAAAATGGAAAAAATCTTCAGTTCATTTCCAGGGAAGCCAGCTACAAAACATGAATCTTGTGAAAACTAAGTTTCTTTAATTCCACTTCTTACTGCAACTATTTTGGTCTACTGGTACAGGCTATACCTCTGTGTCATTACTAATTCTGAGAGAGGCCTAACCTGTGACCTGTTTCTCCAATGGCAAAATTACACAATTGCGACGCGTTGAAGTCCATACAGTTATCGTACTTTCAGCCATTGGATGGGTGGTCCTTTATTACCCTATAATGTAATTTCTCAAGTTTTGCTATAAAGCAGCTGTTTCTGTACATGTTTAGGGTAAGTAATTGACATTGTCATTTCAGAATGTGACAGAGAGTGTAAGATTGTATGAGAGATGCTAGCCTGCTCGTTTGGTTTGTATTTTTTTGTGACAATTGCTAACATTCTCCTGAGATTCGTAAGTCAGCTTTGAATTATTTTAGTTCCCAACAGCATCTCAGTAGCACTGTAGATGGCATGTTTTTTTATTCACAACTTATTTCCCACCAATAAGGAATATGCAGAGAGGAGACCCTATCTCTTCTAGAAAAATCTAGAGATTTTTCATGTTGTTTACTACCTTTTTTTGGTTTTTACTGCTACCATTGGTCTTTGTGTCAACAGAGGCTGGTCTTAATAAACTTGGAACAGCTGTTGTGATAGTTTAAGGAATACAAAATGAAGCTGGGCAGTATAATCACCTGAGAAGAGAATTGAAAGATAAGGGAAGTGGGATGTGTACCAGAGTCAGAAAAGACAATAAGTTTGGAAGAATGAGAAAGTGGTGACTTGCTACTAGAAATGAGAAGATGCCTTAAATTCACTGCAGTATTTTCATACTGACCTCTGGCAAATGAATTGTCTTATATGCTCAATCTCCCTCTTTTTGAAGGAATGTTTTTACATAGTGCTTTTCCTGTTGCTGTTTATGGTCTAACATCAGTTGATGACTAAGTGTTCTGTGTCACTTTTGAAAAACTTAAGGGATACCCTCTTACTTCAGACTGTTTTGTTGCATTGTGCTAAATACCATTTTATGTCCCTGAGATCATGACATTTAGTAGTATCATACACAGAGTTTATGAAATGCTCTTAAATGGGTAGATTAACTTTTTGTTAGTTTTGGTGTCAAATCTGTTAACTATCTGTGTCTTCATTTTAGAGGATGGGCAGCTTTTTGTGTGGGGTGACAATTCGGAAGGTCAGATTGGCTTGGCTGATGAAGCCTGTGTCAGTGTCCCTTGTCAAGTGGATGTTGGAAAACCTGTTTCCTCTGTATCCTGTGGATATTATCACTCTGCCTTGATAACAGGTAAGAGAATGGGAATAGCAGTGAGTGGAGACAAGTCAGTGGTTCTCATATTGTTGTCTTTGTGAAGGTAGCTAATGAGGCATTCATTACTTTTGAAACTAGATATGCCGTAGATGTTAAAAACTGCCATGTGGCAGGAAGTCATCTGTGTAGTTTTGTATCTCATTGGGAGATTTTGCCAGAGACAGGTTCTCTAAAATGCGGTCCTAATTGATTTTTTGGGGGCAATTGTATGTAATCTAGTATATAATTGTTTATTATTGTTGAGTTAACAATACTAACAATACTGTGAGAAAAACCTGCAGTTAATTTTCTGCATTTGCACATTGTTGTGCAAAAGTATATTAGAAAGATTGACTGTCTTATCACACTTTATTTTCATGAAGATTATGACAAATGTTGTGGATTAATACCATGGTTTCAATAATCCAACTTTTCTTGAGATTATTCATTTTTTTGTGATGATCAAATAATCATCTTCATCTTCTCTAGAAATGTAAATAGTGAATAGCCTTACTATGTTTTGAGGAAAAATTAATCTCATTTACTAGCAGTGCAAGATTGTTGTCAAAGTTTGATGTTACATCTTAAAATTTAAGTTTTGAAGTCAGTTAAACAGGCAGTAAGTATACAATATGAAGAAAAGTGTACGCTACAGTGAGCCAATGTCTGATCTCCAAACCAACCCACCTCTCTGTTGCTTTCCATCTCTCTCTTCCTGGCTCTCTGTTGGTTTCCAAAGTGATAATGCCACTCATTTTTTAATAATGCCAGTACAGGTGAACTTATCACTCAGTATTGATGGTATTATATATGAGCAGCCATGAATTCCTCTCAACCATATAGATTTACGTTATTAAGCTTTACAGTTTAGTCCCCTCAGAGTACTCAAAGATTTCAAAGGATCAATAGTTTTGATTGTAAAGCTTTTAATGGGTACCCAGGAACTATTCCATCAGATACTTTTCTCAGGTTACTCAATAAATGTTACTTTTCCACATACGATATCTATATAGTTCTCTGAGAACATGCTGTTAACAGAATGAGAGCTTCCTATGGTGGACAAATATTAATTAGGTGTTATTCTGGTAGTGTGCAACTTTTATTACAGACACTTTATTACAGTAAATTAATGAAGTGCCTGTGACTGATCAGGAGCTCAGCACCTGTCAGGAAATGTACAGCTTCCTGGACTTGAAATAAATGAAAAAAAAAAAAACAAAACAAAAAAACCCCAAAAAACTCCTTGCTTAAGGATATAGTAGGAAGGTGTGTATTACTGTCTTAGAGCCAAGAGCTGAAGCTCTGGCAAAACGGCAGTGGGATGTGACAAAAGGTTTCATTAGAGGAGGGATTGAGGACAGGCATCTAAGAGCAAGGGAAGAACAGTGTCTGCCAACTGCTCTAAGGAAGTAGAATCTTTTAATGGAGAGGGATGAGAAAAAAGGATTAGGGTGGCAGCTGAGTAAGAAGAATGGAGCCTCTTAAAATATTAATAGGAAAATGAACTGGTTATCACCTGTGAAAATGGGGAGTTGTTGAACCTGTTACTGTTTAAACAGGCCTTGGTGTGAGATGGAAAATCTTAATTTTCAGCCTTAGTATCTGCAAATCCTCCACAAATTGGACTTCAATCTGTCTCGCTAAAACTACTGACATACAGACGGCCTCTTTTGTGATGAAAGGATGAATATTTTTTAATTCTTTTCCTTTGGGTCCTTGCTGACAGTTTTATTTGACTGATAATTTAACTACTATAGAAATTTAGTGTTGGACATACAGTTACTTTTACTGAATTGATCTTCTGTTGTGCTAGTTTCAGTGTATATCCAGACAGTGTTAAAAACAAAGCTTATTTATTTAATCTAAGTATACCATAGTCACACATTATTTTCGCTGTGAAGTTAGCCATTAAATTATGAATTTGGAAGTTCTGCAAGTTGAGCCTGTTTTAAGTACAAATGTAGTTACCTTATTTTTCTTATAGCCTAGTTAGGAAGGAAGTCAAGGCACTATGCTGTTGAAAGATTTTGCTTAAAAAAAGGTGATTCTTTTAGTATTGTTGTCCCAGAATTTGTGGGATCATTCACCTGGTAGGCAAGCCAGTAACACACAGAGTCCGAGGTATTAGCTGTTTATTGCCGGTTCCGCACAGAAAGGGGTGCTAAGGGGTATCCCCGCAAAGCTGGCACACCCAGCACTAAAACAGTCATTCATTTATACATTGTAAATTAGCATAATTACTTCCATATCTTAAAGCTGATTGGAGTATAGTTGCCTCATCTTCATTTAAAGGTGCAGTGTCTCTTAATTTTCTTGCACAAGCTTGGTAGGTGAGGGTCTTCAGGTGGAGGTGGGTATTCTAACTTCTAGAGGTTTGGTTTTGATATTATAATTAGTTAAGTTCACCTAAAGGGCACGTTTTTAGCTGATTCATGTGGTATAGCCAAGCTTCTTGGGCAACCAGCCCATTAAAGTTTCTGGTTCCTAGTTTTAGGTCAGTTTGTTCCTTCTATTTCATTGTCTTGTCAAGAGTTGCTTACCCAAGTGATTTATATCAATTTCTTATCTTTTGTTTCCTAAGTTTGTAAAGAATTACGACCATAAAGATTTCAATATCATTATTAGGATTCTTTTTTCACTTATGGAAAACACTTGTCTGTAGGACTTGCTAGACTGGCTCAGAACAGTGGTTCACATCCTCAGTATTCTGCCTCTGAGGGGTGGTACAACATAGCAAACTAGATAATTATGGAGTATTTGGAATATTCATATTACAGGCATAGGGTTCTTTTCCCCTGAATTGCCAGTTAGTCCTTGAATTATGTCTTGAAGTATGTTTAAAAGTTTGCCTAGCACAGGGAGTTTTTCATGTATTTTTATTGTATGGTTTTATCTTGTATACTAGAATTTAGAGTGATTAGTGTTATTTTTAATATATACATTTGGATGGAGAAGAAAGTGTTTCTGTATTTCCAGAAATGAAATTTGAGCTGTTCAGGTAAGTGTATAATCTCTATTAATTACATCAACATCAATAAAATATACCAGAGGAACTTTTTTAGATTGTGGTTGCTGTTACTATGGAAGAAATGGGAGAAACACTGTTAATAGAAAGCTTTCAACACCTATAACTTATCAATTGTTAGAATACTATGGAATTGCTACATTTTGACTTTTTAAACATGACTTGTGCATAAAAAAGCATCAAATAATGTACTATCTTTAATAATAAAACATAGTTGCAAGATGTAGGACTTGGTACGCGTTGTTGGGCTGAACTGATGAGCATGGCACCACATGGTTCCCTTTCTTAATATATTTGTGTTTGACATAAGCTGTATACTGGCTAAGCAAACTGTTAGGATCACAGGCATATCTGGGTTAAAACTAAAAGGTGGTTAATGAGGATACTAGAATACATAGTGTGGTCACAGAGTGCCCTCTCCAGGGCAGGATGATCATTAATAAGAGACTATTGAGAAAAAAAGTGGTGAAGTATGGATTCCAACTTTTTTTTTTTTAAGCTAAAGATATTTCTTTGAAACAGCTGGTTTTAAAAAGATTTTTTAGTAGGCTTTTGTCTTTAAGGTGTTTAACTACTGTAAAGCCAAGTGCAATGTGCATGAAAAGTAGAGTGGAATACTGATAATGCAAACCTTTAGTAGATAAAAGCATGTCTTATGGAAATCATACAGCATTCAGTCATCTGAATTTGTACTTCAGTTCTACAACCCTCCCCCCACCCCTGAAGTTTCTCTTGTCTAGTAGTTCCAAAAAGATGATTTGTCACCTTTCTTAGTTTGGTTTTTAGAATGCCTTCTTTGGAGATGATAATTCAACTACTAAACATGTCAGTCACCTGTATTCTACCATGTACATGTGGGCCCCCGATGCCAAAAGCAGTTGTAGAATAGAAGAACAGAATATATCCCAAATTATTTTTAGTAAAAAACATTTTAAAAAATTTAGACTATGCACAAGGACAGGCAATGGCTAGCTCATTTCCATATGCAAATTAGGAAGCTGGTCTGGTTACTCCATGTTTGAAAGATGATTATTTGCCCCTTTTCTTCTCACTTTGCATTATTCAAAGACTTCTACTGAAAAGCAGTTTTAAGTTTATACTTTCCAGCCCTCTTGAGGACTTTTTCCCAATATCTGTTTCCTTTCCTTTCTTTTTGCAGACTTGGGACATTAGGTCCCTGTATTAGAGGTACGTCTCAAACAAAGCAACAGAGGAAGAGAGAGCTGAAAGATTGTAGCAATGATTTTGGGTCCATATACAGATCTTTACTTGACTAATCTTTGACCACACTCACTCAAGAGGGGACGATTTTTCAGAAAGCATTAAGCTTGGCAAGCATATATGGCTCATTTGTCCGCTGGAGGAGATGGAGAGCAGGAAAAGCCAATGTATCTAACCACTACTCTGGTGTCTACAGCAGAATTAGATTCGTGGAGCCAGAAAGGAATTGAATATATTAGACCTTTTCCGGTGTTTCCCCTGCCTGAACTGTTACTGAAAGCAAGGTCAAGATAGAATCTCACTGAGAAGATGTCTTTTTGTAGAGAGCTTTGTGGGTTCCTTTAATTCCTTTTTTTAATGTATTTTGTCATTATTTTTAAGGACTAGTTTTAAAGATCATCCATTCCACAAGCACTACCATGCTCAGAATTTCAGCATTTGAGGTGGTTTCAACCGATTTGGTCTTGAATAAATACTACTTTTTTTTCTTCCTTCATTTATTCCGGGGATCACAGAGTGCTCCAATTCTTTTGTCTGCTGCTCTCATTTGCCACCAGCCAGGTCTCATATCTTCTCTCATCTGCAGTATGCGCATTTGCCTTTGAGGGGCAAGGATAGTTTTCCAATTGTTTGCCCATTTTTTTGACATGCTTCTGTGACCTAAAGTTTAGTGATACAGAAAATGTGCCACACTAGGGAAAGTTCAACACATGAGTATGTGACTCATATGAGAGGAGAAAATGAAATTGTGAACAGAATGTCCTTAAAATGCAGACGTAGTGCACACAGTACATAAATGTCCTTAAAATGCAGATGTACTGCATACATGCTGTACTCAAAATGTATCTGGGTTTGACTGGATTCTTTTTACACTTGATAGCTATTCTTCATAGTTTTTAGACTATTTGCCTTAAAGGGATGTGTAATGTATTCAAAAATTGCTTTAATAAATGGGTTTGTCTTTGTTAGCTTGATTATTAAGTTGAAAAAATGTAATAAACTTGATTAGTTTGGGAACTCAATGGAAGCTTGGCCATTTGAATCTCTAATCCTATTAATTAGATTGTGATTGGATTAATATTTGCAGTGCACTAGTGTTTAAAAAAAGTGCTGGTCTCTTCAAAGAGAACTGCATAAGTAGTTAACTCCCAAGTGCTTTTGCGGGTTTATCAGCTTGTTTCTAGAAATATATGGCAGATCCAAGAGTATTAAAACAATACTTACCTTCCAAAAAATACGGAGTTCTTTTTTGTTGTTGTTGTTTTTTCTTCCTTTGCACTTAGAATCCCTAATAAAATCTCTTTTTGTTTGGTTACAGAAAACCTCACATCGCAGTAGATGTTTTTGTTGTTAATTGGGATACTGTTTTAGAAGAGAACTTGATGCTGCTGCAAATAACTTGAAAGCGTCAGCCTGTTCAGACTGTTTCTGCACATAGGTATAAGAATAAAGATCAGAATTAAAACAGAAATGCAAACTGAACAGAGAAGCCTAAACACAGTCCCTAGTTTAGAAATGAAATTAAATATACTTTTCTGCAGCTGAGATAATTTGCCGTTTCTTAAAAAATACAGATTGAAATGACTGCAAAACCCTTCTTAGAAAAGAAGTGTAGAAGAATGCAACAAAGATATTTCTGCACAGATACATGCAGGTAAATGGAGTGTTATAATATTATTGGGGTAGTTTGTGTGTGCAGAAAAGAAAATGTCAGAATGATAGAAAAAAATAAGGACAGCTAGGAGGATGGCATTACACCTCTGATGATAGTTGGGAAATACAGCTGCTGTCCTGTTTCCTTGTCTTGCTGAAGAGCTCTGTGGCTAGATTGTGGGTGGCTACTCTTAATAGCCTGAGCCCTGTGAAACCCTGCAGGAAGCTTGACACCGAGTAAGATTGTATTATTGTCATTCCCTGATTGTCCTTCTGTGCAGTTAGAGCATTCAGTAAAGATAGTAAGTCCAATTGCTAGCCTTAGTGGCCCAGGAGCATGGTACTTGAAGAATCTGTGCCTTTGTGAGAGGCAGAAGTGATCTTGCAAAATATAGAAATCATATAAAATAGTCTGGGGTTTCTTTGACTAAGGTAGAGTCTAAATTTCTTAGGTCTTGTATGCTTTACAAATAAGCATTGTGCCATCGCAGTTAGGTTCTAAATCTTTGGTGGAAGTGCCGGTTTGCAACTTTATGTTGAGGCTTAGGACTTATTTTCCATTTAAAGCAGGAATTCAGCTTTATGAAAAAAGTCCTTTTTACAGTTTTTGCTCTTTGAGTATGTCATACATTTTTTTCAGAATTTTCAAGTTAATTGATAGATGTCTGCATTTAAATTAATTTGAAGCTGAAGTATCTTAAAAAATGCATAAACTCTTTTTTTTGTCCTGAATGAACTTTGCCATAAAATAAGAGACATACTTCAGATTCTCCCTATAGATAAAATTCATTTAAAACCTATCCTCAGGCTTCCTTTGAAGAAAATAGGTTACAATTTAGGCCTTTTTTTTTTTTTTTTTTTTTTTGCTTATTGTGGATTGTCAATACCAAAGGTAACATACATCACAGATCAGCATGACTGCTCCAGAATTACTTCCTCTGAGAGGATGGGAGGAGAAGCACTGCTTTATTAAAAGACATAGTAGTTTAAGGGTTTTCAGAATGAAACCCTTTTGATGGAGGGTACTGGCAAAAGCAGTCTGTGCTGCTCTGTTCTATGCACCCATTGCTGTAGTCATTCTGTAGCACAAATGAGTGAAGAGTGAAGTGCCATAAAGGAAAAAAAAAGATATATCGCTATCAAAAGAGTTTTCCAGGAAAAACATTTTGAATCTAGTTTATCTATTGGATTTACCAGATGACTTAAATGAAAATGTATTACTAACTAGTTGATCCATAGTTACACAAAATGAAGATGCGTTTTTGCAACCTGAAATTCTTTATTCATGCAAAAGGAAGTTTTAAATGAATGTATTGCCAGAGTAAAGCTCAGGAAAATTCAATAAAAATGACACATTTCTTACTGACACCAGTTTGACCTTCTCATCGTAAGAATTAAAAATTCAAAAAATGTAAAATTCCTTTCCTGTCTTGGCTTGGTATGCCCAAGTTTTAATAAACTTCAGTTCATTTTGAATTATATCCTTCAATTTTTATTAACGTGGTTTTAATAATTTGACTAATCTAATTTGATTTTTAGAATGCATATGTAGCTTCATTTTTTTCTACTTTACATATTTATTCATAGGTTTACTTTTAGCTCGTCCATATTTCCTATTTCTGTGTAGGCTTTTTTTTTTGGTCATTGCCATTGTCCTTAAATTCCCAAATTTTAAGTTGTGGCTGACTAAGTGCAAGGAAAAAGCAACAAATGTAACAGCTGTGCAAATGGGGGAATATTCACAAAGGCTAACAGAAAACTAGTAATAAGCTTGTTTCCTTATGGTCTGCCTATGTTCAATGCAGAGAGGGATGGAATTCTCTAATGGTCAGTTCTGAGCACCTAAATAAGACTTCAGCTTTGAAACTTTCTTTGAGCTCATCTGTTTTCATTTTCTGTGGGGAAAGACCAGCATTTCTAAGGTCAACCCAACTTTCATGTTGGCAAGGAATTTATAGCTTTTGAATAAGAATCTCTCAGATACTTGTGCATCATGCAATAGTAATGCCTCTAAATGCTGTAAAAGTAAATTTGTGAACACTAAATGTATCCCTCTGAAAGTAAAAGTACATTTTGTACTGAAGCACAAATCTGCATGTTTCCAAAAATATTGTAGATGGGTGCTTCTGATGACTAGGCTTTAATAATGGAGTACACGTCTGGGGTTTGTTATGTTGTTTATGTAAGTGTAGCGCTCTCTTCAAATCTCCTTCAGCAGGAAGCTCCCACACAAGTTTAAACATCTCTTTGTCTTGGACTAGCTGCATGTGAGAGTTTTGCTTATCCTTGTGCTTTGTTATATCCAACTGAGATTAAAACCCAAACTTTTTCTTACATAATAGTGTATGGTGATGTTTTTGGTAAGTAATTTCAAATTCAGATTGTGGGCCACAATTTGTTATGAGGACACTACTCCACAGATAATCTTTTTCAGGAGTGGAGAACACTCAGCTATTAACTTGAAGCTTTCCTGGCAATGAGGAAATGTTTTCTACCTAAATCTCACTCTGATCTGTTAGAATAGTTGGGGGCCCCTTAGCACAGAAAATGAGAAATGTAGATGGAGATAAATTGTAAAAAAAAGATTTAGATAAATGTGAAATGTAGATAAATGTAACAGATGCAGATAAATTGTAAATACAGCAATGGAAAGTACATTTTACATGTTCCGTTTTTAACTATGGTAGAAGGATATACAGAATGCTGTCTTGAATGATAATTCAGACTCACGTAGCAGTTAAAAAGCAAAGGGAGTGACTGGAAAAGATAGAACAAAGGAAACTTGAAAGTAAAATGAACTATCCAAATTTGGGGTTAAACAGTTTTTGAACTGGATTCTTAAAAAGTCTGGGTGCATGAGAAGGGTTGTCTTGTATGATTATGTAGCAGATCAGAAAGAAGTTAAAGGAAGAGATCTTTAAGGACTTCTCAGTATATTTTTGAACTTAATTCTGGTGGAGTTACCACTGTGGAACCACTGCTGTATTCCTGTTGGATATATAGCCCTTTCCTTGCTCTCCAGACCACACACAGTTTCATGTCATTTACTCTGCTTTTTTTTTCTTTTTTCTCTGTATTTTACAAGAAGGAAGTGTGGATTTTCCATCAAAATTCCATGCAAAATGATTTTCTGTTGTAATTGAGATTCTTACAAGCAACTTCCATTGACATAAATACTGATTAGAGAGGGAATTACAGCCTCTCAGAAGCAGGATGTATATGGTTTTGTTTTTCCCTTGGTTAGATTCCTTTCAGGCTAAATGTTGCAGTTCTCATCTTGGAGAGGGCTAAAATTTAGCCCCGTCTTGTCCCATCAAAGCAGACTGCTTTGCACAGCTGTTTGGACATTATACAAATATGTTCAATTATCCCATGATGTTCATACACTTTTCTATCTTACTGATTTGTGTCTGCAGTGACCTTGACAACCCATCCTTGCTTCTCAGTGCATGCTGGAAAACCTGCTCTGTTCTGTATTTTCACAGGAGATGGTGAGCTCTATACTTTTGGAGAACCTGAGAATGGGAAACTGGGATTATTGCCTGAACAGCTGAAGAACAATAGAGTCCCACAGCCTGTACTGGGAATTATGGAAAAGGTTAATAAGGTTGCCTGTGGTGGAGAACACACAGTGGTGTTGACAGGTATGCAATTTAACTGGCTTTATTTACAGCCCTGTAACTTTATCAGTAAACTCAATTTACTTTAAAGAATTTACGTCCCACTGAAATGTAAGATGCTGTAGCGATCTTAACTGGAAGACCATTGTACATCAAGGAGGTAGAAATCCATGTAACACTTAGCCTAAGTGCAGGCCTGTGCTGTGCTGCACATATAGTTTGACGTTCAGGGCTGTGCTGTGCATATCCCTTGGCTACACGATAAACTTAGCTGGCTAATTGTAACAGAGGATCTTACAGGCAGCTCCTACTTGGTACCACTGGTTACACCACTTGCGTGTCCTTGCCTTTATCTAAAACTTCAGCAGCAAGTTCCCATGTGAATGTCCTTTTTATTTGACAGTATAAATGATGAATAGAGTTGTTTGCTTGTAAGAAAATCCTCTAAGAGCTCAAATGACCAAAATGGTGTAACCTTCCACAGATGGGATCTGTGTAGCATGCTGTGCCTGGCTGGCGGCCTGTTCAATTCCACACAGCTCAGGATTCCCAGCATCTAGAGGGGTATAAGATCATTGATATTATCTTCTTTTTCTTTATAGTCTTAGCTCCAACAAATAGCATTTTAAGAGATACTTTACAGAGTCTGAGTGCCTTTCTTACTGGAATTGCAACAAGCCGGCACCTCCTCGTGCAACATGGATGATTGATGTTTCTTTCCTCTACGGAGCTTGAAAGTGGTATTGGTGTGAGAGGGGAAATTGTAGAGGAAAGCTTCCATTCTGTAGTAAATTTAAATGACCTTGAATATTTAGGAATGTATTTAGGAAGTCACTTCTCAAGGAGCTGTCTGTTAATAGTGGTGGAGATGCACAATCTACTGGGTGCCTAAATGGATTAAATACCTCTTGTGGTACAGAATTTGCCTGTGACATTGAGCAGAATCTTTAGCATACATATAAAACTAGTAGTTATAGACATTCAATATACTGTACAAGTTATCACTATCAGCAAATACAACTGTTACATATTAGTCCACAGGGTTGTATGTATAGTACTTGGAAGATGGTGTATATTACTGTGCTATTAAATAGTTGTGTGCCAATGGTAAATTAGCTTTTCAAAGCGATATATGCAAAGCATTGCTAGGTATTTGTTTCCACAAGTTCTATCCTGAACTATAGTAGTATAGAAGCAGGAAAGGAAAGTTTGACTTTTCCCACAGATGATTTAAAAAATATCAGCTTTGGCTTGTAATGAATTCCACAGCTGTATAATATGCCTGTAATTAATCTCCTTCCAAAATGCAAAAGCTATAAAAACAAGTAGGATGTATAGATATCAGTCCTTAAATCTGTATTTTGAAAATGCTAAATAGTAATCTCGTGTCAATCTGGTGGCATGCCTTCAAGGTTATGCAACCAAAATTTCTAAAATATAAACTGAAAATCTAGCTGTGGGAGATTGTAAGTAATATGATGTGGTATTGTACTGCAGGCCACCGGAGAGAGTAAAGGTGGAAGTGATATGCTGGGAAACGTTATGTGTAATGATGAGTCAAGCTGTAAGATTCTGGGTAGGTTAAAACTCCTTTGGGAAAACTATGAAGAGGAAATAACAGTAGCCAATCCAGGAAATAATGCAAACATTTGTCTACATTTCAATGCCTTTGTCTCTCTTCTACCACCAACATACAGTCTTACCCTGGCAGTATTCTATGTCATAAAATAAATTTCTTTACATTAAATCAGATTATCATTATTAGGAAAAAAATTACCATAAATTTGGGGCCAGCAAATGTATAAATCATAGCATTATTTCATAGGTTATAAAGTGAAGTTCTGCAGAAAGAATTTGATTATCATTATTGATTATTTTTAACCATAAATCTGAAACCAACCAATAGATATTTTGTTCTAATGGTATTTCATGTGATAAATTTCATTATAACAAACGACTGTTACAGAGATTTAGTAGGAAGATGTAGACCTGGATGATATCATCATTATAGTGAAATCTGTACAAGAGCTAGAAGAAAGAGGCAAAATATAAATCATAGAATGGTTTGGGTTGGAAGGGACGTTAAAGATCACCTAGTTCCAACCCCCCTGCCGTGGGCAGGGACACCTTCCACTAGACCAGGTTGCTCAAAGCCCCATCCAACCTGGCCTTGAACACTTCAGGGATGGGGCATCCACAACCTCGCTGGGCAACCTGTTCCAGTGCCTCACCACCCACACAGTAAAGAACTTCTTCCTTACATCTAATCTAAATCTGCCCTCTTTCAGTTTAAAGCCATTTCCCCCTTGTCCTATCACTGCATGCCCTTCCAAAAAGTCCCTCCCCATCTTTCCTGTAGGCCCCCTTTAGGTACTGGAAGGCAGCTATAAGGTCTTCCTGGAGCCTTCTCTTCTCCAGGCTGAACAACCCCAACTCTCTCAGCCTGTCCTCATAGGAGAGGTGCTCCAGCCCTCTCATCATCTTCATGGCCCTCCTCTGGTCCTGCTCCAACAGGTCCATGTCCTTCTTATGTTGGGGTCCCCAGAGCTGAACGCAGTACTCCAGGTGGGGTCTCATGAGAGCAGAGTAGAGGGGGAGAATCACCTCCCTTGACCTGCTGGTCACGCTTCTTGCATGACCAAATGCCAAAAAACAAACATAGTGAAGAAAACACCATAGTAAGTCAGTGTCTTAATATGTAAGATTTAATTGCCTATGGAAACAGATTTTGTAGTAGAAGGCAAATAAGGAACTCGGTGATTGCTTAGCTGGCAGTTGATGATCAAAGTGTTGTGTGCTAGAAGATCCAGCTGAGTCAAGAGAAGAGCAAAAGTATATCCTCCAACAAAATACATTTTCATAAAGATTAATAGTTGCTGCGATAAGAGCGAAAGGTCAGATAGATGTTTTTTAATGGGATTCAGCTATTATTAAATAGGCTATAGCTGTGAATTTCTGCCTAAAACACTTTGAACAAAAGAGTAGAGGGTAATGGACATACTGTCTCAAGTGAAAGATACTTCATCAAGAGTGGTGACATACAGAAATTTTTCTGACTCAAAACAAAATTTGGGGGAAAAATTGGGAAAAGAGCTAGGTTTGGACATGGTAATCATTTGAAAAGTGAGTGCAGCATACATGCATTATAGGCTTTGCACCAGAAACTTAACTTGAAATCACTACTGAAGGGTGTATTGCATCTCGAGATGAAGTGGCGTGACCACGAATTGAGAATTCTAATGAAGGATATATCTTTAAAGAGGAGCAGAAACATCTATACCTCTTTTAAGCTCACTTTCCTAAATTAAGAAAGTAGTACAATTTTGAAGATACTTTGAATTTCATGTATTGTCTTCCATGAAGATGGGTGCTGCTTGGCTTTAGTAACAATATATATTGATGTGGTTTTCATCTTTCCAGGGTCTTTCCAGTTTTTCAGGGTGTGTGTCATTTCAGTCTTAAACAATAAGAAGTGAGTGTTTGACTATTGTATATTCCCCTGTTTCATCTATCTCATTTAACACAGGAATAGGATAGGAGAAAATGTCATATGGAGAAACTGTTGCACATCTTTGCTCATTTCTTGTCATCAGTTCTACTTAGGGTTTATCAAATTAGAAGAAAGCATAATCCAGTTATCTTACTGAATACGAGGCAAGTTTCTTCCTGACTCTCATATATAATTAGTCTATTCCAAAGCACTTCATCTGATTTCTTTTTTATGACTGTCTTATCTATTCTATTGGTAATTTTATATGGTAAGAACCACTGTTATCTGGGTTATTAAATCAAGCTACTGTTTGGAATCTCTCCAGCAAATATCAGAGTAAATGGTAGAAAGTATATATTAAAATAATTCTTTTTTTTTTCTCTGAAACTCCAAAATGGGAAACTCTTTTTTTTTTTTCCCTAGAGAACAAAAAATTAAACTGTTGAGAGCAATGATTTGGGAAAAAACTTTAAAGATACAAGGGTTTAGAAATATTGAAGATGGTATTGGAAACCATCTTCTTTACAAGTCTTATTGTTACTTCTGCCTTTAACATTTGCAGTTGTTCTAGAGAATAAACAGAATCACAAAAATTCTATCATGCAAAAGTTTTCTCTCACTGTAGCAGCACAAACCGATTCATTTCATGACAGTCTATAAGCCAGTTCAAGAAGATGATATCGTCATCCTAGATGACTTCTCTCAGAGACTAAAAAAAATGCATCCACTACTCACAATGCTTGCAAATGTTTCCTACTGAAAATGAAATCTGTTTGTATCATCACTTTCAAAAGAACTATGAGAAAGCAGAAATCTCAATTTGCATACTTTTTCAATAAAGCTTTTTAAAAGGTAGAATAATAATAACTTGTGAATCTAGAAATTGGAGAAGAAGAAACAGATGACTGGGAGTGGCCTTAATATCTTACAGTTTTTTTCAGATGATGACAGATCCTCTGGGAATAATCCTGTCTATAAAAGGATATATTACCTCCTTTATTCTCTGAAAGGAGGGAAGGCAAAGATATCTCTTCAAAGGAAAAAGTGAAGCAGTCCTTCAAGAATAGATCATTTGACATAACAATACAGCACATTAGTGTGTTAGTATGTAAAATGTTGGATTTTTCATCTTCTGTCTCAAGGTCTTTTAAAAAGAAAAGAAAGTCAAGATACCCTTCTGAAAGAGGATGAAAAGGATGAAAAAGCTCTACCTTTTCATGACAGAACTGACTGTTCAAACCATATAGGATTATCTAGATTTTTCAAAGCATTCTTAAGTCTGTATACTATTTATACTGAAATCCCCAAATCCAATTACTAGCTCTGGTAAAACTGAGTGTTGTGTTGACAGCTGATTTTTACAGTAACATTTTTCAGCATAAGCTGTTTAAAAATAAAGCTACTGTAAGAGTGAATAGCCCATTGGCGTAGTAGTCGTAGTAGTAGTAATAATAATAATGTTCAAGAAAAATGAATCTATGTGGAGAGATATAAGCATACCTGTCTGTTTCTGTTTTTCTCCCATGGATTTTTAACTTTGTCTATAGCCTTAAATACATAGCAAGGAATGTATCAATCTTAAAAACACTCTTGGAGCTCACTCAGTTCTTTCAGCAAATAGCACGTGTTAAAAAAAATAATCTGAAAACTATATAGACTTTTGCCTAGGACTATTTTATTTATAGTGACAGTGGTCATGGAGATTAAAGAACTGTTATGTACTCCAGAAGATGCCTGCAAAGGTGGAAGATCCACAGTTACAGGGAAATATCCCTGTTTTTCCAAAAAAGAAAATCTAGGAAGTAAAGGAGAAGCAGTCCCAGCACTTGAGTGCTGGAGGTCACTTGGAACAGTGAAGCCATTGGGTTCTGTGCAAGCTCTGAAACCACTTCTCTTCATCCTTCAAGGGCCCTTGTCATGGGCTGCTGCTGTGGAGGCAGCAGTTCCTTCCTCGAGGCCAGCACAGGGCTTGAGTTCTGTTTCTTCTGGCTGCTGTTAACATGGCTGAGCCTTCCTTGTGATTCACGGATGCACTGGAGGCACTGCTGCTTCCCTCGTGCTGCTGTGGCCGTATGTCTTTCCCCTTGTACCGCTCTGGTGCTGCCTTGACCATTCCACAGAAAACTGTTTCAGCAAAACCCCCCAAAACCTGGCTTACTCAGCCGAGCTGGCTCACCACATAGCCAGGTGGACAGCAGAGACAGTGCAAGAGGGGACTGAAGACAGAGAATGGGAGAACGAGATCTGCCCTTTTGCTGGCAGTACGTTTTATTTGTCTCATCTGATCATATCCTTACTGGGACAGAGGACAGTAAGAAGAAGGTGACAACGGGGCTATATCCCCTTTTGGATTAATGGTGTAGGCAAATTAATTTAAAAATTCAAGTTCATAATGATGAAATTCACCTCTCTCATTTTATCACTAAGTCTATGAAGTTGCTTTGCCATAGACTTCTCTTTCCATGTATTTATAAAGACAGATTGGAGGAAATACCTCATTTCTGCTAAGTGAGATCATTACTGAGGTTTGGCCTCACTTCTGCACCAGACCAGTGAATCATTTAAGAAAGGTACAAAGTTTTTGTCGTCCTGTGCCTTGATAATTGACTAATAAGCAAATTTAGGAGGAGCAAAATTTAGGTGCCCTTGGTCTATAGCGGCAGTAGAAGAAGTCATTCTTCTTATAAAGGCACTCTAACCTTGCTTTGGATGGGCCAGTTCTCCTCATTGTCAGTAGAAACAGAGGAAAGAAAATAGTTTCCTGTACTTTTAAAGTTAGCATTTGAGAACATCTCCCTCTAAACACAAATGCAAAAGGCGTTGCATGTTTCAAGCTAGGATTAAAGATAATGTGAAGAACCTCCAACTTCACTCAAAATAATTATGTTAATCACATAAAGCCATATAATTTGAAAATTACAAGATCTGCCAGTTTCCAAAGAAATATTAAGACAAATGCAGTACTTCTAAACAGAATTTATGGAATCAGCTATGCTGAGAAAGTCATTTACTAAAATGAAGATGAGACTTTGGTTCAATTAGAGAAAGCTCCTGTCTTTCAGGTGTAGTTTCTTGATTCTTATGCAGAAAGTCTAGATATTACAGAAAATGTCTTCTTGTTTTCCTTTTTAAAGATCCTGAGGTGGTCTTGCTTTCTTGCACGAAGATTTCCAGCAGAGGGAGCTTTACTATTGCATTAAATTAAAAAAGTAGCTTTACTCAATATTTTTCATCTACAATCTGAAAAACTGTGAGAACATTGTTTGTTTTTTTTTTTATGGTGTGAATTCATGACTTCTTAATATGGAACAATTTAAAAGGGGCAGAAAGGGCAAACCCTTTGCTAGAAAGAACTTTTCCATACATAGTGTTACAGTATTTCATCATGGTTCCTTTGAAATCGGAAAGTTAACATAAGTTAGTAAGTGTACTGTTGTAGTAATATGGAATCTGGTCTGATCTCTGCTTTCTCTTTCCCTGACAGTAGTGAAGGATTAGTTTGAGGGAATGGTAACAGAATTTGTTTTTAATATTTCTCCAGTTTGTGGCTGCTCTGAGAATTTGGTCGCACAGTATAAACTACTTTTGTGGCACCGAAACTTACTTTGCTCTCCCAGTGTCCTTGTTCCCTTGACACAAAGAAGTGCTCAAACCCCAAAGATTCTCTGTCATTCCACACATTCCGCTGTGGATGCCCATTCCTCTCTTGCTTTTGAAGGTGGTGAGATTTTTGTCCTGATGGCATCTGTGCAGCAGGAGCAGGCATGCTCTGCACCATGTTCATAACAATGATGTAATGATATATTGCTCCCAAGTCTCAGTTCTTTTTGCTTGACATAGAATAGTTTTTGTCCTTCCCAGTCTTTCCCAGGTTTTCATAACTGTTTTTCAGGTACTTTAAGTAGTACTTCTCTAGCTTTTCCTTTGTTGCCTACATGCAGAAGAAAAAGGGGCAGGGAATAAAATTCTAGGAAAACTTCTCCTTTTCCCCAAAAAAACTTAGTCTTTGAATTTCCCTTTTCAAGCATGAACTCATCAAGATTTCCAAGCTTCACAGTCTTCCCCTGTTGTGATGGAGTGCCAGGGATGGACACACCAAGAATCTTTATTGCTTTGGAGAAGCTCTTATTCTTTTTCCTGGCACAGACAGTCCATTAAACAGACAAAATATAAATGTGGAAGGATGATTATTCTGTCACAAGATAACACAATTATAGTGTTCTCTGTATTTAATGCAGGCCTGATTTGGTAGCTGAACAGAATACTGAAACGTATTCTCTTACTGTTCCAGTCTCTTCTTACACAGAAGTTAGTATTGGTTTAAAGAGGTCTAGTCTATTAAATTTACGGTCATACAGTGTACGTGCAGGTAACCAGAAATTAAGATGAGACTATTGTACTTGAAAATGCACATATATGTAAACATTGTGGTCTTGAATTAATTGCAGTATGTAAAGTCCCATAAATTTTTTGTTAGCTGATGTTTTGTGTACATGTGATCAGTGGATTATTTTGCAGTTATGTTAGAAAATATATTGCATATTGAACCATTCAAAATTCTTTTCTGTATATATTTTAGTGCTTTATTTCCTGTTTTTTATTTTGTTGCATTTTGTTATTAATTGATAAATGTAATTCATTAGTTGGTACATTTTTTTAATTGATAAAACATTGCTTTTTTGATGCTGATGTCATCTGACTACCATTTGGCTAATAGAAAGCAGATTATAACATACATATAGTTACCAGCATATTTGTTGTTAACTTTGCCTATACATTTTCAGAGACGGATGTATATACTTTTGGACTTGGACAATATGGGCAGCTGGGACATGGTACTTTTATTTTTGAAACTTCAGTACCAAAGTCTGTGAAACACTTGAGGAGGCATAAAATATGTAACATTACATGTGGGGAAAATCATACTGCTGTAATAGCAGGTATGTAAGTGAAAAATTCTGAAATGCACTTCCAGCGACTCTATTATACTGTAAAAGCTTTCTTTATAAAATGAGCAGTAGAAGAAGACATATACAAACTTACTAGATCTAAAGGTTAATTAAGCTAGTGAGAAAGCCAGATTCGATATTAGGAATTTCTGATTCACAGCCATGCCATGCATAGCTCTGTACCTGGTATCTCCCGGGGAGTTATAACCTCATAATCATGCCTTGCTAACAAGTATTCTTGTTTAGAAGCCTTTGTTTTTCTATACAATTTCAATCTTATTATTTTGTTGTTGTTGTTTTGGTTGGGTTTTTTTTACAAATTGTCTGGACTAACTCTTATCTCAGTACTTCGCCTGAAAGTATACATATTTTTTGATCATATTCACCTGTTGAAAATCTAAAAATAATTGTTCAGGTTTTGCTTTTGGAAGAGAAATACTCCTTACTTGCATGACCTGTTACTTTGTAATGGTTTTGTCCTAGTTTTGTATTGAATCTTTGTTATTAATAGCATCCTTTTTTTTTCCACATGCAGAGAATGGCCTCATGTTTACTTTTGGAGATGGACGACATGGCAAGTTAGGCCTTGGAGAAGAGAATTTTACAAATCAGTTTGATCCCACTCTGTGTTATAATTTCTTGAGGTTCACAGTCCTTTTGGTAAAACTTTTGTTCATGATTCTCAAACATCAAAAGATTTATCTTTTTATGAAACACGTTATTAATGAGAGTTGAAATCTCATTATAGAATTATTTCTTTCTATAACATTTAATTAGTAGGCAACACAAATTGAAAGAAAAAGGAAATGATATTTACTTACTGCACTGTTCATTTAGTTTAGAATGTATTTGGTTTGGACTACATTTATAGACTGCTTTTTAGGATTTTATTCAGTAGTGTTGTGCTATAGCATTTTGGTCTGTAGAGCTGTGGTAGCCTATAAAATTAAATATTTGTTGCTCTTAGATTGCTGGCAGTAGGGGGAAACCAATATCTGTTCTGAAAACACCAGAGTGTCATCTTTTTAATTTTAACGATTATTTGTACAGTGGGATATTTATGTAATAATACTTTGTCTGTTGGAGGGTGTAGAACTTGCTTTACATTTTGTGGATTTTGTGATAAAATCTCTAGGTTTGTATCACTGAAGCTATCAGTGTTGCCCACATTTGACTTGCATCAAAATAATTAGCTCAAATCCCTCAAAAATTGGTGGAAATACCTTTGCTTTCTCCTGTATCAATAACTTGATAGACCTATCTTGTGTTCTGTTCAATACAAATACATTGTATTAAGTAAGAAGAAGTGAACATAGATCACTAGTCATTAATAAATGTAATTAAGTACTTTTATGTGGCTAATGTCATTAGGAGCTAAATTTGAAGCAATTTAATCTCACTTTTAGTATGTTTTTCTTACAATCTAAGCCACTAGAGACGATTGTGAGAAAATGAGATCCTTGTATCCTTGTACTGATACTTGCAAATGAAATAGTCAGACCTTTTTTTGGTGCTGTAGGTTGCTTGTGGTGGTTGTCACATGCTAGTTTTTGCTGCTCCAAGACCTAAAGGATCTGAAGAAGTACTCTTAGAAGATTTATATGAAAGCCATTTGACTGCTACTATCTCTAAAATGAGTGGAGACTCACTACTAACAAACACCTTACAACTAACATCAGCACGAATGCGACGTCGAGAGAGGGTAAATTCAGAGCTGTTTAGAGTTGCCATACTTCTTTTAGGAAATAAAATCACTTTTAAAGCTAAAATCACAGCATATACCCAGCAGATAAATATATCTCCTTAAAATACGTGTTTAATTTTAATGTATAGAAAGAAGAATGAATGTCTACCCTGGCTCCAAAGTTGATGCAGGTAAAAGATAGGTCAGATTTTACTTGTTTATTTCTATGAAGAAGACTCAAATTGATTTTGTTTTTTTTTTTTTATTCTAAAATGTAGAGCCTGTTCCTTTGCATTTTTAAAAATATCATAGAAATATTTTTTGAAAAGAGCGAGAACCTAATTCTTTTTGTTGTTCCCTCTGAGTCCTTGAATATATTAAACAAGTTGATAGTTTATAAAATATTGTCCTGGTTTCAGGAGAAAGTTTCGCAACCAGCTTAAAATGATCCTTAGATCCTGTAGCTACTTAAAATAGTAGTTTCTTCTCCTTTATCTCCACTACACATGTGATTTCCCTGAACAGCGCAATGAATTGGATCATTTCACTTACCTGTCTGAAAACTAACTCTACCACAAAACCACACTTTTTTGGTAAAAATGTATTGATGTTGTGGATTAAATGCCTGAGTGTTACTGGAGAGACTAGTATTTTAATTTTAAATAAAAATCAAAGTTCTTTTTCTCCTTTGTCTACATTTTAAGACTGCTTGAGATTATTGTGTAGAAATTACCTAAAATATTCCACTATATACCTATCCACTTTTTAGGACTATAAATAATTAAAATATTAAAGAAATTGTGTTTATGCTTTGTATACAAAGTTACAACGTTGTATCATCAACTAAAAGAAAATACCACTGTTAAGCTTGAGAGGTTGCTTACATTTTATTCTTCTACTCTTATTCTCAATATATATTTTTTTAATCTTCTAAAGGAAAAGTCACCAGAACAGTTTATTCGAATGGCACAAACTCTGCCTCCACTGGGAGAAAGCTCCTTAAAATCCTCGCTGCCTGTGACTAGCAACACTAGCCCACTCTGTTTTTCTGCAACAAGTCTTCCTAAAGCTGTACCTGCGAAGGGCAGAGACCATGAAAAAGGTGAAGTGTCCCCACATCTTGCTGCTGTTTTCTCATAATTATGTAGTTTGGCTTTCATCGTTCATAAACAAATGCTCAGTTTGAATGTGAAAGAAGGTTTAATTTCAGTCTTACCTCAAGAGGGTCTGGCAGCATACAGACATGAAAGTTGAGAAATGCATACCAAAAATTGCCTCACACTGTTCATGTTTGGAAAATGTGCTTAAAAATTTAGAGGAGGGTTGAGTGAAAGAAAAACAACTTCTAAATTGTATCTGTCGTTCCTCAAGCCTGTAGAAATAGGGCTTCACAAAAATACTATAAGATTAGTAACTGCTTTCTCAATTTTCACAAAAAGGAAAAAGAATTGCAGAAAAAAAATTATTAGGAACAATCTTAAAGACACAGGAAGGCCTACAAGAGACCTTGGATGAGAAAAGAGGTCTACTAATTCTTACAGGATCTTTCTTCTTCACTTGGAAATGCAAAAGTACTCTTCACTCTCTCTTATCTAAGATAATAAGGATTTACAATATTCTAGCTAATGCAAAAGCCTGGATAACAATGATACTGATACAGCACTGGACTTTTGCATAGATTCTCTAGAGCAGTTCTGGACTTCATCTGGGTTCCTAGGCATGTGTGATTTCCTGGGAAGAGCAGTGATGAAGAGTGCAGAATGCAGTGCTTCTGTGTAAAAGTTAGCTCAGATTTATTGGACAGTCAAATCCAATTTGAAAGTAACTAATTCAGTTAGAATTAAGATGATTATTTGTAAAGCTGCCAGCATGTCCATTAGCATTTCTGGTTCCAGGAAGGCAATGCAGTGAAATTTGAATTGCCTTCTGAGGCCTAAAACCTCGGGTTTTGTGCCATATGAAACTGCTCATATACCTGATGAACTTGAGGTGAACCTGAAAATGATGTAGGTACATTTTAATGATGCTGCATTGGAGTTAAACTCACTGTCTCTCCATCCATTACACAGATAATGTGCAACGTAGGCGATATGACTGCAGCTAAGTTAGTTTAATTGGTACACTATTATTGAAGAGATTATCCAAAAGAATCTTTGTCCCATATAATATTTATGCTTTGAAAGCCTGCAAAAATGGTCAGAGATCTACAGTGCACTGAGGCCAGATTGCTGAGCTACCTCTGATGTTAATACTGATGAAAAGGAGCTGGAAGTGTTTCTGCTGTGTCTTGTGTGTCAGTCCTATGTCAGTAAAATAGACATAATCTCTGTTTTACAAGAGTGGGGTGTTCTGTTTGCTATATATTCCTTGTTCCTATGGTATTTGTTTACCTCCCTCTATTTTACATTGAAGAAAAGAATCATCAAAAAGATAAACCTGGTGAAGGCTCTGCAGAAGAAGATTCTGATAGTGAAAATAATGACAGAAACCTTGGAGATACAACTGACATCCTAAATATGGTAATATATTCCCCTAATGAATCTGTGATTCAATTGTTTTTATGCAGGGGAAGAATAAAGCTGCTAAATTGTGTTTCAAGTTCTAGTACAGAATTCCTGGCTAGTCCAGAATGTCATATGTGGCACCAAGAAGTACTGACATACTGTTAAATGACCATGCATTTCATATCATCATTATCCAATGCTAAAGTTTGTTTTCATTTTCCAAGTAATGTTGTAATACGAGGTTGAGGCAGTTCAATAGTGCAGCCCCTCCTCACGCTTTAGCTCTGGATATCAGAAAGGAAAGGAGAAGGATGCTGGATACCACATGGTGGTCTCTATCTCTGACCTTCTTCTTCTTGATAATTTCCGAGAGAGAGAATTGCAGGAAATGAAGCAGAGTGCTGTCTTTTCCTATTCCGAGATTTTTTAGTACAGGTGGATCATAATAAAGGGAAGACCAAAATGCAGACATTTTGATTATCTGGTGATCCATAAGCATGTTTCTACGTATTTCTTTTATTTAAAAAATATGTTCACCTTATCACTTGTACACCTTTCCAAAATATTTTGTTCTCTTGGCAGATAGGGCATGTCCTGGCCTTAACACAGTGCACTGGAAAGAGTGTTGGTTTTTGTCTTTTTTTTAACTTCAATGGAATGGAAACAAAAGAGCAGCTCACTGTGGACTCAGCTCAGAATATGTTGTCAGTTATGCTGGAGGGATTGCACATTTTACAGGAATTATTACTTGTTTGTACTTAATAGTGCTTAGTAATTTAACAATCTGTTTGTGCATACCATTTATTTAACAGTTATAAAACTTTATTTTCATTTACAAGGAAAAAATTGTCTTCAGATATGATGCACAACGTGGCCTTCATTAATTTACTGAGGCATTATTTATAATATATTGCACACTTTATGTGCTAGACTTCTTCCTCCTTTTTGTTTTTGTACCCATCGTGAATCAATTTTAAAACATTTATCAGAATGAAACAGTAAATTTGAAAAAAGTCTGTCAGGCAAACTTGTCAAAACACAAAGAAAAATGATTGCTCTTCTTGAATCTAAATGAAAATAATCTGTTACAGCATAGTTGTTTCAATTTTTCTAAACTGTGGCAACATACATCTTATTGACAAGTGTGACAAGAGGGGGAAGAACTTTTAATATCATATTGATGATACAAATTCTTGGGAGTCAGAAACCAGAACTGTCCATGCTCACTGTGTTGGAAAAGAATATGGTGGTTAAACCATAAGCAGTTAACAGACAGCAGCGGAGAATACTATCTTGTCATTTGGAGTATATGGGTAGGGATGACCAAAACCTCATTATTAATTGCCCACCTTGTAGTATTCTACATCGCCTTGCCTTTTGGTTTTTTTGCTTTATGTAGAAGAGATAAAGGCATTAGATTCCAATAAAAACTTCTGCTATGTAATGTTTCTTTAAATATGTTCTTTCAAGGCTGTTGTATCAAACTGGATATTAAGTTGAAGGTTGTGATGATAAGGGAGTAAGGTGTTATATTTGTAGCCACAACTTCAGGGTGACTGGAAGGCGGATCTAAAATGTGCTTGTGGGCTGTAAGAGAGGGCATGTAGCTTTCGGTCTCTATAGGCAGTTTAGATGTTGACATGTAAGCTGGTTACCACTCTTTCTCTTTATAAGCAGTAAATGAGGGAGTAGAAGTGAAAAAGGTGAGTTGAGCGATCATATAGATTTGTCTCAACCTGACTGTGCAATAATATCTAAGTGTTCATATAATAGCTCTGTTTACTAGAACTGGGCTTTGATGCTGCTTTCCCTGTTAGTTATATTTATTTTTTTAATGGAGATCTTATTTTTTGCAGACACATGCAATGAAATTGAATCCCAGTGACCAGTCCTTAAAATTATCACCACTCCAAAAACAAAAGGTACTGTAACTAATTATATATACATATGTATACTTATACTGATGTTTAAAAGATCAATAATTCTTGTATTATCCTTGTACTTTTTGTTTTGCTTTGAGTTTTTAAAAAAGCTAGGCAAATTTTATAGGCTTGCTAATTTTCTGAATATCCATGAGGTAAAATTCTAAGAAGCTGACTTCAATCAGGAAGAATTTGTTCAGGCACATAGCACTCCTCATATCCAGCATAGTTTGAGATAACAGTATATAATACTTCACCAGTTTAAGGAGCAAGAGACTATCATACACTTTGCAACTTAAGCTGACAACATACATTTCTGCTGGTTTGTTGATACTAAAATTTTTAATTGACTTTTGGGACACAGTGTAAGTAAAGATTTTATTTACAGGTAATCACCATAGAGTATATTTAAAGGAGCAATAATACTGGTTTTAATTATAAAGTTAAAATGCTTCTGTATTATCTTTTTGTTTCACTCCTAAAGTGATCCCAGCATTTCAGCATTTTGGTATATTTCATTATAATTTTATTTTATATTTAAAAAATTTTTCTGCAGAATTTGTTAGTAAGTGTAAAATTTAAAGCAGAAAGACAACAGATTTTCAAACTTATTAGAAAGACCATAACAGTGAGTGCATCAGAAGATTTCCTAAGGGGAAAGGTGGAGGAAGGTGTAAGAAAACTGTAGTTCTTTCCTTTTGTTCACACAGCCTCATGCATTGCATGTGCTCTAGCTTATGGGACATGATACTGGCTGCACAGTTCTTACTGCATTCACTTCAAGTGCTTGGATAGTGAAAAAGGCGTAGTAGTACATTTACCATCAACAGAATGTTGCATTCTTCTAATGTGTGCACGTGTAAATTAATTTCATGTGAAATACTCTACCTTTTATGCTATCTTTTAGTCCTCTCACACAAATTGTTTCTCTTCTTGTTCAGAAGTTTTTGTAACCTTTTTCTTTTGCTGTCATTTGTCCTTAATGCTTTCCTTCTTTCTTTTTAATTTTCTGCTTCTCATGTGGAATAGAAGAACAATAAAAATGTGAAACTGAAAAGAGATGGTAAGGGTGGGCTGAAAAACAAGGATTCTGATTTCATGAAGGAGGCCTCAAAATTAGACTCTGGCTCTTTACAAAAGCAGTCGTCACTTTCAGAGTCATCGAGACAAGATTTAGAAAAAAGTAGTGCCTTTGTAGGGAAGCCTGTGGCCAAAAAAAATAAAATGAAAGGTAAATCTGAGCATGCACAAAGGGTTAGTACTTTGAAAAGTGGTGTCCAACAGATTCCTAGGGACAAATGCAGATTAGCGAAAAGGGAAAAAGAATATGTGGAAAATCCTGAATTTGTCAGAGAGGATGTAACTTTTAATGTTCCCACTGAAAAACAAATTCTGAGTGAAAAAACAAATTCTTCCAATAAAAAGTCAAAAGCTGATAAATCTAAGCAATCCCTTAAAATAGATGTACTTCCTTCTGCATCCAGGGATCGGCCCCAGACTGATTCATTAATTGTACAAAAATACAATCCTGTTAAAAAGCAAGGAAGTCAAGAAGCAATAGAAAGTCAAAACAAAATGAAGGATGTTGTTGAAAAATCTGATAAATGTGAAAGAATATGCATCAGAGGAGAAGAAAGTAGTGAAGAGCAGAGACGGTTTAAAAAAAAGGATCAATTTTTGAAACAAATAGCTTTAAGTATGTCATCATCTTCAACTGAAGAAAGTAGTAATGATCTTGCAAAATACACACTTAAGAGTAGGGAAAAAAAAGAGGACTACTATGAAGGCAGAGAGGTCCAGAAGGCAATGAAAACAGTAGAAAAAGTGCAAGAGTTGGACTTAGAAAAAGAAGATAGTGAGATTGAGGAGATGCAAGCTACAAACAATGAGAAAGAATATGTAGAAGAGACTGATAGAAAAAGCCTGAATGAGGAAGAAACAAACTCCGAAGCTAAATCTGATGAAGTCAGGCAGTTAGAAATTAAGAATGAGGAGGAATCTAATAAAGAGCAGGAGAGTGAAGGCAGTGAAAATGAAAAAGAAAAACTAGATGAAACAGTTGACAGTGAAGGTGAACTAGGGGAGGAAGAAGAGAGTGAGGTTAAAAAAGATAGAGGTGAAGTTTCAGTAGAAGGAGATGAAGAGGAAAAAGATAATGAGGAAAATGAAAAAGAGGAATCACAGGCTGAAAGAGACAGTGAGAATGAGGGTGCAGAAGAGATTAATCAGGAAGACAGCAAAGAGCAAGGAGATGAAGAAGGCAGGTTGATGGAGGAAGAAGAAACGCTGAGTGAGGGAGAAAAGAAGGATATGGAGGAGGAGGAGGAGTATGCAAAAGAGGAAGACACTGAAAAAGAAAAGGAGGAACAGGTTAAAAGTGAGGGAAGAGATGAGAGTGAGGAAGGAGGTGAAGGTAGAGAGGTGGAGGAAGAAAAAGAGGTAGTGGCAGAAGAGGAAGGAGAAGATGAAAAGGAAAATGAAGAAGAAGACAAAGAAAGGGAGAATGAAAAAGACAAAGAGGGTGAAGAAGAGGAGTTAGAAGAATCATTGGCAGGGAGGGAAGAAGAGGTACCCGAAGAAGAACAGGAAGAGGAAGATGCAAATAGGAGGACTAAGGAGGTGGGGGAAGATGGAGTGGAAGAAGGAGGAGAGGAGGAGGATGAAGTGGAAGGTGAAAGAGAAGATGAGGAGGAAGAGGAAGGAGCAGAGGCAGAAGCAGAAGGGGAGGAGGGGGAAGAAGATGAAAAGAAGGAAGAAGAGTGGGACAATGAAGAAGAGGGATGGGAAAATGAAGAAGAGGAAGGGGAAGAAGAAGATGAAGAGGGAGAAGGGGTGGAAGAAGATGAGGGAGTAGGGGAGGAAGAAGAGGGTGAAGAGGGAGTTGAAGAAGATGGGGGAGAAGAGGGAGTGGAAGAGGAGGGAGAGGGAGAGGGAGAAGAGGGAGTTGAAGAAGATGGGGGAGAAGAGGGAGCGGAAGAAGAAGAGGGAGAGGAGGAAAAAGAGGAAGAGGAGGAAGAGGGTGAGGAGGAAAAAGAGGAAGAGGAGGAAGAGGGAGAAGAGGAAGAGGGAGGGGAGGAGGAAGAAGGGGAAGGAGGAGAAGAAAAAGGGGAAGAAGGAGAGGAGGAACAAGAAGGGGAAGAGGGAGAGGGAGAAGAAGGAGAAGAGAAGGAAGGGGATGTGGGAGAGGGGGAAGAAGAGGGAGAGGAGGAAGAAGGAGAGGAAGAGGAAAAAGCAAAAGGAAAAAGAAAAAATTATAATAATAAGCTTCCACAAAAGAAAAGCAAAACCAGGAAGTCAGAGAAGACGGGAAGTACTGCTTTACCAAACAGCTCTAAACAAAAACTGAAGTCTAAACAGCATGTAGCAAACGGTTTACATAATTCAGAACAATTTTGGAACAATGTGCTACCTCATTATTTAACACTAAAGTAGCATAGACTACTGGAGATGCATTTTAAGCCTATTCAGGAAACTCTGGAATTATGGCAGATTGATTTTTATTACTTAAAAATTATTTTCAATGTAGTCAAAATATATTATTATGCATATACTTTAAGTGCCAATTTATTGAAAAAGACTGAAGAAAATGTTTAGTTTTGGGAAGCTTTTGTGAGAGAAATCATATAAATTGTTGATACAGTCATTTACACAATCATTATCATGTATGACAGATTTAAAAAAATAATTGCAGAGGAGGCAAAATGTGTTTGCCTCTTAATTAAATTATAATGTCATGCTGACAACATGAATTATACATTGTAACAGTGTAATCTTCTTTGCCTTTGAATCAGATTTCTTAAGGTAATACATCAATTTTAGTTGCAGGATAGCTTACTTGTTAATGTGCCTTATATGAAAGCAGTGTCAGTAAATCATCAAAGATACTTATTTTAAATTTTGGTATCACTCCATATTCATTCCCCCTGCTTTTCTTCTGTTCATATATTGGTAAAATGTTTGAGTACTCAGTCTAAATTAAAGAAAGAACAAGTTGCCAAATTTACATGGGTTGGTAGGTGGGAGGTAAATGGAAGTGCGGGCCTGGGTAAATGGTGGCCTGGGCTTTTTCAAAGGCCTTAAGGTTAACTTCTTATTTTGGTGTCAGCACACAATTATGTGCAAAAAGACAAACACAAATCTCAGAATCTGACCTAGATTACATTTGAGTCAGAATGCATCTGTTTAGGGATAATTTTTTACTATCACATTTTGTGATTAGATATAATCAAGAATTTGAAAACATACCTGTAAAACATTATTTACTCGTTTATACTGTGCAATACACAAAAGATTCTATATCTGCCTACAAAAGACTACATAACATTAGTCATCTAATTCTAAGGTTCTCAAGGAGGGGAAAATATTTTGTTGCAGTGTGAAGTGTATATTATGTTTTCAGGATCAGAGCCTAAGCTTCTCCTCACTGGATAAGATTTGTGTTTTTCCCTCCTAAAAATCACATCTGTGATCTCCAAAAAGAGGACGATGTTCTGGAGTTTCCTTAAAATACACAAACAAATCTTGCAAATTATTTTTGTAAGATATTGCATTACTGTTTCACATGTTAGTGGTCAAACTGGCAAAACAAGGGATGGGGACTCATCATACAGCATTATTACTTAAATACTATGCTAATGGGTGTCTGAGAAATTTTTGTAAGCAGATCTCAGTATTGACATTGTCTAGAAAAATAGTTATTTAAATCCCATTTGAAAATAAGGACAGCAGAAAAAAGGAATCAAAATGAGTAAATGTCATTCAATAAAAAAGTTAATGGAATCAATACTGATGTTGAGATTATGAAACATTTTTGATGTTGTTTTGTAAGATACTGGCATTAAACTATCTTTGACACAATGTCTCCAGATTTTTTTTTTTCAAAAGGCTGTAGTAGATTAATAGTTTGCCAGTAGATTCTAGTCCAGTTTGATCCTTCCTACCTCAGTCACCCCTTCCATATACCACATTTGAAGTTAAGATCACTTTCAGCCACATGCCATGCCTAACTATAACAAAAAGTTAGTTCAGTGGCTGTATTTTGTCCATGTGAAATTCGTTTCAAGCTTTGGGACTTTCTGGAATACATCGTCTTGACATCAGCATATGTAAGTCTTTGTGAAAGGGTAAGTATCCTCATATTCTGATAGAGTGGAATATTTTAACAGTTAAATGCACTTCCCAAGAAAACAGCTCGCTCTAACAACACAGTCCTTAGTTATTTCGCAGAAGTGCTGTATTATCATTGAACTGCTGTAAAAACATTTACTTTTGAAACTAAATGGAGCTAAGCTGTATTATTTTATCTTTCTAAGGAAAGATTAGGATGTTACTGTGATTAAATTTAGAGTAATATTGAAAAGTATTTTTATAGGCCTAAAACCGTGTTTCTTGGATATGACATCTACTTATTTGCGATTCTAAAATTCAGCTTTGGAAGAAAACTGCGCTGTGAAAATACTCTGTTATTTCTTGTGAAAAATATTTGCTGGGGGGGGGGGGAAGTGAGAGCACTTTGAAGCTAGTGATTTCCAATTCCACATAGAATGGCTTTTCATTTACTGTTTGGCTGTAGATTTTAATCTAAATCCTTAGGCAAATGGGGACCATTTGTTGTTGTGCCCTTAACATGCACTGATAGCATAAAGCTTCCCAGGAGAGTAAAGGAAGCCAAGTTACGGGCATCTCCTCTTCGTTGTTTTGTCTGGATGAAAATTCATGGAATTGAGAACTGATTTTTTTTTATTGTTTTGTGGATAATTCCTGTGGTAGGGGAAAAGCAGAGCATTACTCCAGCGCTTCTAAGGGTTTTCCACAGAATCGTTACATAAATTGTGCACTGTGCCAATGTTTCTGGGCTTTGGGGGGACTTTGGAACTCCATTAGCATAATGAGTGGAATTTTATTTAGTTTGACTCATACTGGTTTATAAAGTTTGTTACTTGCGGTTTTGTGGAAATTCAGTATGTCCTTGGTATTTATTATGCGATACAAAAAGAGTTATGTGCGGTGCTTAAGCAACATGGCAGAAGTACGCCTGAACTAGTTTTTAGTAGAGAAAAAAATCCTGCAATAGAGAGAGAAAACAACAGACAACTGCTCAGACCAAACATCTATCTAGTCCAATATCTTTTTGCTAGCAGTGACTACTGGTGAATGCCTGGCAAAACATACAAGAAGAGAGCAAACATGTAGCATTACTTCTCCTGTGTAATCATTCAGTATACTGAATACATTCAGTATATTCAATAATTTGTGGTTCAGCAGATGTATCTATTATATTTAATAGCCATTTTTCTTCCATGAATTTCTTTCAATCGGTTTTTAACCCATATAGCATCCAGTACATGTTTTGGCAAACAATTCTTAGATTACTTTACACGTTGTTTGAAGAAGTAACTCCTTTTTTTGTCTTGAATCTGTCTTTTTGTACCTTCATTTGATGTCTCTGTATTCTTGTATTAGAAAAAAGAGCATTTATTCCCCCTTCACGATTTATTCCCTCGTGATTGTCACGTGAAAAAACTGTTCAGCTATGTGGTTTAAATCAATCAAGATCAAAGTGGTTTATTGATTTATTAATAACAGTTAACTAGCAATCAACCAGCTACACATTCAAGATCAAGAGTGGCAATACAGCAGGTAGCAACACCAGACATCCATAAAATGTTAATAAGCACCTGCGAATTTCTCAGCACCCTTCTGCAGCTCTTCTTAGAACTTTTAATTCCCCTGCACAGTCTCACATACATGTTCGCAGAATTACACATGCACATAGTGCCTTTTGTAGCAGGCACAAATTACAAGCACATACCCCATTTTCGGGGGGTGGAGCGCAAGTCTGCTCTTGCCACACAGCTCCCGTGAGAGATGAGGGTGCTCTAGATTACTTTTAAATATGCTGTAGCACAACTCTTCTCTCATGCCTACAAAATTTCAGCACGTAAATTTTTCCAATATATCTGAAAGTATCAAACTGTTTATTGAGATAATAGTTCTCTTTGCATAATTGATGCTGAATAACAAAAATGTCTTTCTCCAAACTACAGAAAATGTCTGGTTTTCATTCACTGTTTTTTGTCCCGGTGTCTTCTCTGGATAGGTACGTGGTTATTCTTTAGAATGGGGCCTTTAGGAATCATGCAGAAAAGGACATTCAGTTTTTGTTTCCATTGCTTTTAGTTTTTTTCCGTAGCTTTTCTTAGCTATAGCCATGTTTTAAGGTAAATTTTAGCTTACTTTCTCCGAAGATGACACTACCTTCTAGATCTTACCTCTCAGAATAGCAAAGAGTCTTTTATTTTTATTAATTGAATTTGTGGTGTGAATCTAGCCATTTAGCAAAAGTCTTGTTAAATACTCTAAAACAAATGAGAGTGATTAAATGCAGAGCATCTTTTTTAATGCAATCTGATTTTTTTTCTTCGTGCATATAGGCTGGATTTATGAACTGTGAATGCACCTGAACTTCTGTGTGTTGTCCTTAATTTTATAATGAGTATTATGGGAAGTAGAATCAAGCTCAGAAATAACAGGATTTGCAGACAAAAGAATGTTGTCAGATCTGTAAAAAGACAAAAAAAAAGGGCAAATTCTTAACTAATTTTTAAATTGCAATTCAAGTAAACAACAGTGTTTAGTACTGTGGCATTCTGTGAGCAACTGAGCAAATATTTTGCTTGCACAAATAGCAAACCTATAGTTTTGTCCTCAGTGAAGTTCTGAGTGTGTCTGTGATCTGAAGTCACTCACTGAGTTGTAATATTTTCATACACTTTTGCATATGTTTTAATGGAGAGAGGAGAGGTTAGCTTTTGCATATTGAAAGGATTTTGGAGAGATAGCTTTGGCATCAGAAAATTGCACTGCTGAGAGCTACAGAGGCTTTATTTTTCTATTGCCAAAAGAAAAAGCAAGTACACTTAATCGCTGTCCTTTTTAAGGATTTGTGATGGTGCCCATTGCTTCTTTGCTTGGCAACCTCATGCTATAATGATTTGAACAAATATTAATACCGTTATCTCAAAACCCCATACTTTGTTATGAAAATATTTATTATCAGGGCCCTGAAATGTCAAGTGTAAAGATATTTACCATTCTGGCTTTCATAAATGCCCCAGCATTGAAAAATCAGACATGACTCTCTTTCTGTCCAAGGTGGGTTGCAGGGCAGTCTGCTGGAATGTCCCAGGTTCAACGTTACAGGTTTAGAGCTTTATAATTTGTCATGAGTAGCCCGTCTTTCAATCAGAGTTGCATTTGTGGTTTGTGTGAAGTATTTGTGATTTCATATTGAGAGTGTGAGAGAGAGCTAAACAAAGGTAGCTCTAGGCAGAATTTTATATTAAACAAAGCCTTTATCTGCACCTGTACCTGTAAGGATATTGATCACAGTAGTATCGAAGAGTAATATTTCCCCTTTGTATCAATGATAATACAAGAGCCTGTGCTGTGCTGTTCAGCTGGAAAGTCAAC